TAAAATAATCATAAGAAAAAGATATAATAACAAAATATCTTATATGTGAGTTATAAATATCAGTGTTGTTTTAATCTGAAAGTGGTTTATTATGAAAAAACAAATGATTAAACGTTTTATGTTATTAAAAGTGTATTTCATATTAGAAAACTTGAAAAACTTGGTGTATATCAGTCTCAGGATCAATTTCTTTAGTCTAACCGTAAATCTCCTCGCGTTAGTGACTTGTGAGCTCCACTCACCACTGCACTCCTCAATTGAATAAATTTGGTGTAATTAGCAGTATAGTCGAAGCTTCAACCACCAGCCCTAATGGCACAGCCCGTTACGGTTGAGCTAAGGATTCTTCTACAGTAGGTGTCTGTGACTTGTTGGTGATAAATTCAAAAAATCAATGAACAGCACTCACTCCACTTGTTTTTAAAATAATATATCTATTCGGAAGTAGTTAAACGTATATACAACAAATTATTTACACTAGAGAGATCATAGGCATATCATAAACACTATATAGTTCTTTCTTGTTGTCAAAAGTCCACTTAGGTTTATCCAATTGCTTTAGAATTTCAGTTGACAAGCCGAACTATTTTTCTCTATTACTATCGCCAAACTATCCGAGTATAGTTCACTTACTTTATCGTCGAGCTACCACGGTTCTATTGTATACTTCTAAAATCGTCTGTTGCTTTTTCTCTTTTTGTATTTCCGAGAATCGTCTCTCTATTTGTCAAGGTCCACCGAGGCTAGTTCAATTACTCTAAAACTCTCTTTGACGAAATAAGCTGTTCTTTTTATCTCTTTCAACACCGTTAGTCTCACTCTAATATATCAACCGTTAGGTCTTCCACTCCTACGATGATTAACGTTTCTTTGGCCGAATTCCTTCTCATAACTTTACTTTCCTTCTCGTCTGCTCTGTCTTTGTCTGTCTGTCTACTTTTCCCGCTCATCTCACACTATTTATATGTTCATTACTTAATCGTCTGCTGGCTATATCCTCGACATCAATAAATTTCACGCGACGTTCGATAATCTCGACATCGACGAGTTACAAACACAACCTACGACTCTTACTGAGTTACGAAACTAAATTTGTCATAACATTTGCTTTAAAATAATTGCTTCTAACTCTCTTGTTATGAACAAAACTAAACAACCATACAATATTCATTCATAAAATAAATTAATTAATAATATCTACACTAAACAGTATTTTATATTATGACAGACTTGTTTGTATTTTAACTACAAGGCAGCTAAACGCTTATAAAATAATAATACCCTTCTTTTCTAAGTTTTTGATAGTAACATGGTGAGAGCTAACTAGACAAAAATGCTTTATAAAGTTTTCGCTTTATCTTCTTATCATACAGACAATTATCAGATGTTCCTTTTAATACTTTGTTCTTGCGTTAAAGGCATATATAATTATATATGTATATACGTATATATACATAATTTGATGCATGAGTGATTAAAAATACGTATATGTATAAATGTAATTTAACTTATTGAGAATAGTGCATTAACTTTTAAGGCTAAGAGCTAGTTTATGGTCTTTTCACCGTTTATATTATGAATACAAAACTCCAGTCAGCACTTAAAAAATCTGGAATACTTTTAAAGTTTGATATTTTCATTTTCCTTCATTTCAGTGGAGTGTGAGTTTAAAAGACATCTACACTCTTTTCAACGTTTTAAGTTATTGTTTAATGCCAATTTGTCTTCCATAAATAAAAGGTCTAGAAGACAAGCGCGATAAAAATTACTTACAGTTCGCTTTCAATGACATGAAAATAGCAAAACAATGATTTAGTAGGCATTTTCGACTAACATAAAATGGGATTTCTGAAGTCAGTATTACTATAGATGCTTTACAGTTGTATTTAATGTCAATTAAACAACAGAATTTTAAAGGAGTTTTTATTTCGTTCCATTCCTTTCAACCAGCTTTCTGAAAGTCTATCTAGAAATCACAAATTTTAAAAGCTTGCCTTCCTTTAATACAAATATAAATCAAGTAAAAATTAAATGGACAGAAAATGCTGTTTTTAAGTCTGCAGTTTAAATTACCGTTGTTCGATTCAATTAAATAGATTTGAATGAAACGTTTGATTGATAAAAAATATCACCAGCTTCAGAACTAAAAAGACTTGACGTTAGAATACAGTCCTTAACGTAGAGATAAAAAAATAAAGAGTTAATTATTAACGCAAACAATAGACGAACTACTGGTTAGATTTAAATTTCGCGCAAAGCTATACGAGAGTTATCTGCGCTAGTCATCCTTAATTTAACAGTGATAGACTAGAAGGAAGGAAACTAGTCAACATCACCTACCGCCAATTCTTGGGCTACTCTTTTAGCAACGAATAGTGGAATTGAGCGTCACATTATAACGTCCCTGCAGCTAAAAGGGCTCACATGTTTAATAACGGAGATTCGAACCCGCGAGCCGTAGATTGCGAGTCGAGTATCCTAACCACCGGGCCAGGAACTATTGACACAACTCAGCCCAATATACATTCCATAAAACAAACATGAAGTAATCTCTTTAAAAAAAAACATATTCGTAAAGCTAAGGGACTTACCCAGCCTTTATAGCTATCTCAATATATAATTTACTAATGACACAAAGATGGATGCATTTGATAGCAAATTCCGTAGCATAAAATTCGTGTGTTTTAAATCATCCACTATTTCATCGTGTAGGAATAACATATTCGGCACAAATTGGAGTCATTGATTTCAGTTTGTTATTGATGCAGGAAATCTTAAACAAATCAAAAATTCGATATTCAATGCAATGATTTACTATAATTATATTTTCAACAAAACAAAAAGCTAATCAATTAGACAAGCAACGATACCAATTTATGATCAGTACGACTCGATATTGGAAATTTGGAGCAACAGGTCTATTTAAAAACCAGTCTAAGAATTTTCAGCACGCCATAAAGGTAGGAGTTTTGATAAAAAATTAACAGACTGTTCTATTAGCATTAACTTTATCATCGAATTAACCAAATTTGAGCTCCCCCAGTGGAATAGCGATAAGTTTATGGACTTAAACGCTAAAATCTGGGACCCGATTCACTTTGGTGGCCCCCAAACATGCTCGCCCTTTCAGCCGTGGGGGCGTTATAATGTGACGGTCAATCCCACTATTCGTTGGTAAAAGAGTAGCCCAAGAGTTGGCGGTGGGTGGTGATGACTAGCTGCCTTCCCTCTAGTCTTACACTGCTAAATTAGGGACGGCTAGCGCAGATAGCCCTCATGTAGCTTTGCGCGAAATTCGAAAAACAAACAAACAAACACTTTGGTGGACACAAGAGGTAGCCCGATGTGGCTTTGCTCTAAAAGAAACAAATTAAATTTGAATGAATCATTTAAAACAGTAAATAATATTCTATGCAAGGAGCAACACGATTTTTAGCTCTATCTTGTTTTTTTTTTTTTTTTTTGTTTTTGGTAATATCTAAAAATGTCCAACTCTTTCTTCCAAACATTATGCCCAGTTTTATTGCATAAAAACCTAATAAAATAATAAAGCTACGTTCTAAATTTTTCTCTCATACATCTTTCTTTTGGCAAGAAAGATTAAGATTCCGTTGGTTGAACAACAACTTAAAACCTAGCAGAGTTGATTTTTCCACCGCAGGGAATCAAACGCCGGATTCTAATATTGGAAGTCTGGGAACTTATCAGTGACATATTGGAGGACACCTGGCAGAGAAACCAGTAATTTAATTTTTTGAAACAATAATAAAAAAGGCATCGATCTCTCATTCTTTCTTGAAGATAACTGATGATAACTTATGGATCACATTAGCAAAACTATACACAAAATGGCGTTAATAAAGTATTATGCAATTCTGTTTTATAATTGATTCAGGTTTGCTTTAAACAAATGTTTCTAATCTTGGAACATGATATACTGTAAATAACATCAGCTGACAATTAACCATATGGTGAAAACATTTATTCAATAAATTAATCTTGAGCTTCAATTCAGCTTCTAGAAACTTGATATCAGGATAAGAGTATTTTAACTACTTTTAACACTACGTTTTAAAAGTCTAACTTCAATTTTTAAAAAAACTAGAAAGAAAAAATTTGTTGAGAAATTCATTACACAAAACATTAAGTGAATTTTATTTGAGAAAAGCATGCTCTATAGCGTGTCATCTAATGATAAAGGAAAATAACTATGAGACTAAGTAATAGATATATGCTAATTCACAAAAGATTTAATCTACTCAAAAAAACTACTTCGTTATTTCGTCCATCTTCATCTCCCTAAAACAAAAGTTAAAAATGTGAGTATAAATTAAGAGAGCGTAATAAATATTTTAAAATTATTTACACTAGGTTCAAAACACTTCTCTGCTGTGAAATACGTGAGTGATAAAAACAGTAAACGTGTGAAGGTGTGATACTTCATTAACTTATACACACACACATACATACATATATACATATAATTAGCTTTCGTTGTTTTTAAACACGAAACTACATAATGGACTATCTGTGCTCTGCCCACCACGAGTATTGAAAGCCGATTTTTAGCATCGTAAGCCTGCAGACTTACCACTGAGCCACTGGGGCCTCTAATACATCTTTATCTATGATTAAAATGCAACAACCTAAACACAAAAAATTATCCCAAAAACTACCAGATAGTACATTACCCCTCTTTATAAATTTTAATGTTTAAAAGTCTGTACTTACAAATTGAATGTGTAACAACTATTGTAATGTAGCAAAAACAAGCCTTACCAATACTTTATTAAAAACAATATCCTCTAATATTAAAAACGAAATCAAAGTAACGACAGCCAAAGTTCTCGCTTAATGGTTATGAAATTTTATTTAACTGGATTGTTTTTATAAAACATTGAAATAAAGAGGCTCGAAGTGAACAATAATTTAAAGCTTGTACAGCTTAGCTTGCCATCCTTTTACCCAAGTAACAATGAAATAGAAATTAAAAACAAACATATTTTGTAAATCTTTTCGTTTATCGTCTTTTTATCCAAACAATAGTGAAGTGAAAGTACAACAAAACAATTTACACTTCTATTACAAAGAGGATGGAATCTAGAAGGCAACAATAATCTAAATTAAAGTTCTATTTAATAACCAGACTAATGACCTCATGTAAAAAATAATAACTCCACCTACTGAGCAAAACAGTCATTAAATCTTTACTTTTTCGCTTACTGTCGTTTTATCAACATATATAAAAAAACAAAAAACAATTGAAGAATCTAGAAGTACGCAATAATTCAAAGTTTCATAATTGTGTTTGTTTTTATAATTCCGGTGACAATAAGCTAAGAGCCTTTTTTTCTTTCACTAAGATAATAATTATTTTGATGTTCTAAAGTGCAAAAATATATTCAAAGGGTTTGTTTTTGTTTTAAAAACAAAATTACAAAACGGGATAGCTGTGCTGCGCTCACCGCGGGTATCAAAACCTGATTTTTAACGCTATAAGTCCTCAGACGTACTGCCGAGCCACCGACGAAGAGGAGGAGGCTTTGAAAAGGTTCACAAATTTTTCATCAGTCCTCTAGGAGACAACAACACAACAATGACCAACAGCAAGCTATTAAACAACAGTCCGCCATTCTATCATTGTTGCTCGATCTGTTTTCTGTCATAACTCTGTGAAAATAAATAAATAAAACTAAGTACTTCAAACAAACAGTGTGATAAACAAAATCTTTCTTATTAGTGTTGCTTATTACGATACTCATATTTTGGGATTAGATACTCCTGTCATCTGTTGAACATTTTGTGAACTACCATTAGTATTTGTTGAATAGAGATACTTTCCATAAAGAATTGTATAATTTAATTTTCTCTGAAAATGTTCATCACACAAGTCAGTTAACAAAAACACCATAAAGATGTTTTATCAATAAACATATTGTTTTAAACTCACTCGGCTAAAATCATTAAACTTAGTCAAATTAATTATAGCCATTCGTAATTTATCTTACATTGAAATTATACTTTCAAGGCAACCGTTTACAAAAAAATAATAATAATAATTTGTAAACGTATAATTTACCCAAATTACGAGTTTTTATACAAAATATGCTAAGATTAATTACTTAAATTTGCTCTCACTTATGCCATTTTGTTTAAAATAATGAATAATTTATAGAGCATAACGTACAATATTAATGTATTAATTTGCATGGGGCAGTCTGAATCAAAAAGCCATCACAGAAATGTTTTAATGACAGTATTCTTATAAAACTTAAATCTATTTGTAACAAATTATCATCCCACTAACTTTTTTTTCGTAAAAAACTACTAAAGTTACAGATTTACATTAATTCACCACATAAATTTAGTTAGTGTTGTAAGCTTCTATATATTTACAAGGGGTCGCTTAGCAACATAACACGTGACAACAAAAATCAGGCTACTACGAGAACAGTGCGGAAACATCTGGTAATATGATTGGCTCAAGATCTAGTGACGACAATGTTAGACACTACTAAACACAGAGTTGAGTTCTCGGTGTTTCAGAAATTAGAGATTAGTGAGGACGAACCCCCACTTTTTGTACAAATTATTTAAAATAATGAGATAGATTAAAGATTAATAAATGTTATTGAACCATAAACAGAGATTGTATTCACGAACCTTTAGGTACACGATGAATATAATTATAGGTAGTTCTAAGAATATAGAAGTATTAACTTATGGTGAAAAAAGATAATTCTAATATTTTTAGCTTTTGGATTTTATAGATTTAGCTAAATTGAATGGAGGTAGTTTTAGAGCGAGATGGAAAGTTTAGATCTTAGCACAAAAATCGTGACTTTTCACTTTGAGTTTTTAATTTAACCGTAATAGCATTAACCTAACGTAAAGTTTTAGTTGATTTTAAATGTCAGCTCAAGCAAAATTAGAAATACAAAGATGTTGTTCAAAATATTCTAAATGCGAGAGAAATGTATGTTTTTACCCTAAATAAGAACTATGATTGTGTTGTTGTTGCTGTTTTACCTTGTGACAATTGTTTTTTGTGTGAAGGCGAGTCACAGTTGAAGTAACTGTTAATTTCCCTTTTATATAGCTAGATTGGGATATACCTGTCGTATGATATATTTAGTTTTTTTATGAAGTGTTCTGTACGCAATTAATGAAATGCCTGTAAAATGCATGTCGAAAGGTAAAGGTTATATAAAATAACAGGTATCTAATAGAAGCTTGTACCAGTTTAGCCCTGTGTCTGTGTTCACTCTCTGGAGTGGATCAAGCCCATCTCAAGGGGTAACACATTTATTTGTATAAGTTTGAATGGATTGAGAGTTCTTTCCTTTGGTTATGTCATTTTAAATAGTTGTCGATGTAAGTAATCTACTGGTAATGTAATAATACACTTGTATCTTAATGTGACTTGAAAATGTGGTGTAACATTCTTCTTCTTGTCCTTCTTCTGTGTGAATGCATTTTCTACTCCAGCAACCAGTAAGAAGTCATCAGGAAATAAGAAACTAATTAGTTTGACCAAACACCAAATATTATTGTGAATAAATATTGTTTTGTTTGTTAACTTATCCTTGCTTGTTTTTTCTTTGTTGTTGTAGTGTATATACATTAGTGTATGTATAATGATAAAGTACACCATAAATATATTCAATAAAATGTAGGCTTAATAATAGTCATTAGAATAATTTTACAGTAATACAATTATTATAATATGGTTAAGTTTTTCAAATCGAATTACAGTACAACTTTAATGTGGCTTTGATACAGTAACTAGTAATTATTGATTATGTTGATGTTTTTGAGAGACAGGGGGAGTCTGTTTAGATCATTTCACAGTGAATTCAATGTGAAAAGTGACTGTTACTGGTAAATGTCTGCACTAAACAAAGACAGTGAACTATAATAATACTGTGTAGCGTGTAGAAAGTTCTAGTTAGTTAGACAGAGTTATTTAGATATATCTAGACTGCGCCAACACGTCACAGACACCTACTGTAAAGAATCCGGTCTACACATACATAAAAACATAACGTATTCACACTGAGATTATAATGAAACAGATATTTCTTTATAAGTATATTGAGATTTTGAACTATTTAATTTGGGTCTCGAAAATATAAGTTTCGAATATTCTCCTTATAGACAATGGGTTTGTGTGTTTAAGATGCAAAGACCCATAGCACACTGGAAATGTGTAAAACAAATGAAGACAGAAAAACATCTATAATCAGCAAAAAACAAAAGTCACTCTGCTAAGATACTTGGTCAGACTGAACCTAGATCTTGGATAACACATTTTAGTGAAAAGGTTGATGTTTTTTTCATCTTTTAGACGGCTCGGCATGGCCAGGTGGTTAGGGCACTCGACTCGCAATCTGAGGATCGCGGGCTCGAATCCCCATCACACCAAACATGCTCGCCCTTTCAGCCGTGGGGGCGTTATAATGTGACGGTCAATCCCACTATTCGTTGGT